AAAAGCAGGAAATGATTTTATATGCCACATGGATGTATCTGAAGGACAAGGGAAAAAATGATCTCAAAAGGGCAAAAAAAAAAAACCAAAATACACACACACTTTTTTCAAACACATCAGAATTATAGGTAAACTAAGGAAAACCATCAACCAGAACTTCCTGCTTTCTAAGTGAACATAAGTTCCACAACTAAGAGTGTAAAGAAGCAACCACATCGAGTCTCAGAGTCACAAAATGGGTTGGTCCCTCATCCATGTGTGGCAGACAGAAGTCAGGAGGGAGAGCTCTGCTGCAAAGGTCCCACCTGAGGAGCCAGAAGTCCCAGCCCCAAGCAGGGCACCCAAGCCCAGGGTTCCAGAGCTGAGGAAAGAAATCCTCATAACTGTGGCTGTGAAAACCATTGGGGACTGTGGTTGAGTGAGACTAAAACTTGTGAAGTCCCAGACAGTGCCCACCCCACCCAATTTGCAATCTCTCCCAAGCTGTTTCCCGTGTGTTTTCCACCAAATGCTCTCTCTTGCCTCATGCTTCAGATTTTCCTGAAATCTCTCAAATCAGTACCACCCAAACCCTAACAGTATCCTTGTGAATGATGGCCATGTACACGTATTCTCTAAGGCAGGTACTTAAAGGCAGAGCTGTGTGACTCTAACTGGGTAAGTGTAATGTATCCACTTGGTTGGTGCCTATAATTTGCCCTCCTACAAGTGATGCATTAGAATGCTATTGGCTCACTGTCCTCTCCCCCAAAGGGTAGTAAGATTTTTCTCTTGGTTTCTCCTCTGGATGCATTGGGACTGTGCCCTTGTACTTCTGTGGAAAATCAGTTACAACACTGAAGTAGAAATCATTACATATAAAAGAACAGGCAGCTTAGGTACACTCTCGGGCTGTCAGACTGCTGTGACTGGTGTCCCACACTGGCTTGTACTGTCTTTGAAAGTCAGATTGTGTGTCACTTCTGGACTCTGCATCAGGACCTCACAGGGGCACTTCCAAGTTGGCCACCAGGGGAACACAGATACCAAAACATGGGAAAACACCAAGAACCAGTGTTTTATTAAGAGGAATTCATTCAGGTGACATTGGGTAATGAAATTATATATAAGTTTCAATGTACAATTCTCTAACACATCATCTGTATCCTGCACTGTGTTTTTAACAATGGGTTCTTCCCTGGCAGTGCAACCCAGGCAGTCCCTTCAAACAAACACATCTTAATTTCCCCCAAGCTGGTGTGGCTCAATTGGTTGGAGCATAGTCCCATAACCAAAACTTTGTCCTATCCAATCCCAGTCAATACACATACCTAGATTGCAAGTTCAATCCCCTGTCCAGGCACCTATGGGAGGAAACCAATCAATGTTCATTTCTCACATCAGTGTTTCTGTTTCTCTCTTCTACCTCTCCCAAAAAAACAATGTAAATATCCTCAGGTATGGATAAAAGAAGTCTTGAGTCCATGTGAGGAGGTTCCTGGGGAAAGTCAACAGGTGCCATCTGAGGAAAGTTGAAGACACATGGGATCCTGAGAGGGCAGTAGGGCATCCATTTGGATTTATCTCTTGTGGACTGAATGTTTGTGATGCCAGCTCATGGATTTATTGAAATAGCTTGCATGCTCTGCACTGGTTGGATGAGCACTCCATACAAACATCAAGGCAGGTGTAATGAGACATAAAGAAGAATAGGTTTCTGAAGGTACAGAGAGGTGTGGACATGACAATGCCATGTGGGATCAATGCTAATTTCACTCAAATGGGAAAACATGGGAATGTGTCACATGACTCAACAGTGGTCGGGGGGAGATGGGCTGAATTTAATGGCAGAAGGGTCCAGACCTTGTCCCCCTGATTATGACCAAGGACTCCTCCCTCCATCTGCAATGAGCTGCAGGCAGATCACATGGCATGCCCCAGATTATCTTCCAGAACCTTCTGGGTACATGACCTCATTTCCAAGGCTCTCCCACCAGAGGGAGCACCAGAGGTAATGGTGCTCCTTTACCTCTGTGTTCAGCTCCTGGTCGCATCCTGGGCCATTCTCTCTGTCTCCAGTCTGAAACAGCAGCACCCCGAGGACCACCAGGACCAAGCCAGCCACGCCCACGTGGATGAGATTCCCCACTGTGTAGTCTTGGGGGTGGGAGTCTAGGAAATGTGGAGAAAGAGGTCACAGAGGTCACAGCAGACAGTCACCCCTGGATCCTGGATGCCCTCCCAGCACACTTGTCTCCCCCTGACAGACTGGATCCTCCGCACCCAGCCCTATAACTGAGAATTGTACTCACCACTCATGTTATCTGAGCTGTTGTTTGATGGGCTGATGGTGTCAGCTGCTCCTTCAAAACCATAAAGAAGTGGGCACCTGGGTAGTTGATCCCACTCAAGCCAATTGTCCTCAAAACTTTCCTGTTCCTCATGATGTGACTGCTTCCAGCCCCTTCTGGAAGCCTCTCTCTGCTATGAGGGTCCTGTCTGCTGTCATGGATCCTGTCAGCCTCCTGGGGACTTCTGAGTGCAGACTTTCCTCCTGAGGTCCTTTGGGAAATAGGTTGGCTTTGCCCCAAGAACTCACGTTTGGTAAGAAATGTGGTCTCTCATTACAGAACAGAATACCTTCTGCTAATCACCCTGCTCTCTGTGGGAGACTCAACCATCCAAGCTCACTCTTCTGGAGCTGAGAGTGTATATTTGTTCAGCAGCTGAGCACTCAGGGTCCAAGGGTGGGTTTCATCTACACACACACACACATATATGGGATACTCAAGCCATTCTTGCACTGTATGTATAGACAATTTTATGAAAAAATTTCAAGATGTACCTGAACTCTTAAACAACCCTTGTAAAGCACCTTTATTTTTAAAAAAAAAAAACAACAACTTCCTTTTAATATAATGTTACTTTTCTCTTAAAAATATTTATTTATTTATTTAAGAAATGGAAAGAGAGGAAGAGAAACATTAATGTGTAGTTTTCTCTTGAGCACTCCCTATTGGAGACCTGACCCACAACCTAGAAATGAGCCCTGACAGGGAATCGAACCAGAAACCATTTGATTTGCAGGCTGGCACTCAATCTACTGAGCCACACCACCAGGTCAAAAGGTTATGTTTCATAATAAAGGCATGAATTTATCATAATCACAATGAAAATAAGAGTAAATTTACCTTTTTAAAGTCAGAAGTGTTTCTAACCTAAATGTATATATGGAAGCATTGCTTTAAATTTCTCAGAAAACATGCTGTAATAGAGAGGTGTGGCCAGACATGTAGAGAGCAGACAAGAATGTCACACTGAATCTGGACAGGAATCCCCAGTTCCTCATGAGGACTCTGAGGTGTCCACAGCCCCCACACCCAACCTGAGTCTCAGGTGAACACTGAGTGCTAGAGGCCTCCAGGTGAGCCCAGGAGCCTTCAGAGTGATGCCCACAGGTGGGGGCACTTCTCCCCATAGGAGATTGTCCAGTGGGAACTGCACTATCCCCCACAGCAGCCCCACCTTGGCCAGAGCCACCTCTTGTCCTGCTCTGAGAGGGTTCAGGGACCCCCATACAGGTTGGTGGGTTCCACTAAGGGTCTCTGCAAATGAGGTGTCAAGGTAGAGTCCACCTGTCTTCTTTCCAGCTCTCCTGACCTCTCCTCCTACATAGTCCAGCTATTTTCCCTGTATTACAAGACAGACTTGGACACCAAATTCTGAAAACTGACACCAGGCAGACTACTCAGGGGCCTAGGCTTTTGGTGGAAAATCTCACAGATTCTGTGTGGAAGTGGGAACAGTTGGCACCCTCAATGGGAATTTCCAAATCCTGTCAGTCTCCTTGATATTGAGGGTTCTGTTTGCTAAGTTGAACCCCCAGGCAGGGTGGACCTGCTTCCCCAAACCCCTGTCTCCCTGAGCTGCTTCATCTCTACAAGGTCCCAGTTACTGGGACAGGCAGGACAGGCCCCGAGAGGGTGGCACCAGGAGCGGGTGCCACTTTTTAAGGTGCCCAGAAAGTCAGAAATAGACATGACCCTGCGGGTCCTGGGGAGGCAGCTTCCCCTTACTCGGGTGGAAAGATCCTCAGAGTTCACCTCCCTGAGCAGCTGAGTCCACACACACCCTCTGCCCTCTATCCTGGGGTCCTGCCTGTGGCGTGTGCCTCTGGGGAGTAGCACTGCTCTGGTTCTGAGATGGAGACACCTGAAGGCAGTGGGCTAGGACTCCATCCTGTGACTCCAGTCCACTCTCACTTGCCTCTTGTTGTCACGGTCCAGCAAGGCTGTCTCCCTCTCTTGTTCAGCCCTGTCTCAGCTTGAAGGGTCAGGAGGTCCCAGGGGTCGGAGATGCCCACCTGCTTCTGCCTCTCACAGGATGACCCTTCTCTGTAGAGCCACCTTGCCCTCCCATTATGCCTTAGACTTTCCAGGGGACAGAGCCCACAGTGGTCCTTGGAGCTCAGAGAGGACATGGCAGGTGAGTCTCACGGGAGACCAGGATCTCTGGGGCCAGAAAACAGATGACATCTTGACCCGAGGGGGACACTGGCAGCCTCTACCATTGGAACCCATCCATAGGCCATAACCCCAGTTTGGGTAGTGGAGGGTGGGGGCTGCCTTCTGCTGATATGAGCCAGGCTGTTCCTCTCTTTAGCTGGGCGCCCAACATCTCTCTCCATATGACCACCTCACCTGTCACTTGCCTCATTTGCACCTCGACAGGCCTCACTTGGCTGGGGTGATGGGAAAACCATCAGAGACCCTAGAGCCCCATAGTTCCCCTGAAATCTCTCCCTGCTGACACCCAGAACCCTCAGACACAAGCCTGACCTTGAATACCTGAGGCACATTATATCCTCAGAGAGACTCAATCACCATAGCTAGTCTGTGTCTGTAGTCCAGGAGCCCCTGTGCTCCCCTCACTCCACCTCTCACATGGGACTCCCCTCCTTGTAAAGACCCCAGTAACCTGTCGGGTTCCTCACACATGGATGGGACCACTATGGGACTCACCTGAGACCAGGAGCTCCAGGGGCTCACTGGGTGGTGACCACAACTGGGGTTTGCTCCTGAAATAACCATAGCATCTGAAAGTCCCACTCTGTCTGGGAATCATGTGGCCCAAAAGGAAGAGGGCCTGGAAATGCCCACTTGGGTCTTGCTGTGAGTCGAGGGCCCAGGAGAGGCTATCTTCTTCTTCCTTAGTTAGAACAAACTTGCCAAATCCCTCATCTGAGTGACATTTGACAGTCATGTTCCCTCTTGAGGTTACAACAGGGCTGGGCAGTGCTGAGAGGCTGGGTTTGCTGTAATGGACTCCTAGGAGAGAAGGAGGCAGCATGTTAAATGGAGTCACACCTTCCTTGTGTCTCCTAGGGCTGGGCTGTGAGGGGGAGACCCCCTGAGAGTATCCCCCTTCCTGAGGGCAGAGCCTGAGAATGGTACCCCTGGTGTCACCTCACCTGTCACCACCAGCTCCAGGGGGTCACTGCGCTCTGACCAGACCCTGTGGCTGAGATAGTAACAGTGATATCTCCCTGCAGAGTGCTCTGTTATCTGTGTGATGGAGAACTTGGCCTTGTTCCTAGGATCCAGTGGCATCTGTCTGTCCCAGGGTGCTGAGCTTCCTTCTTTATCCAGACGATACTCCTCAGCCTCTAGGCTCCCCTGACACCACATAGTCACAGGTCTCCCCCAGGGGACCATGGAGCCTGGCACAGTCCAGAGGGTGGGTTTGGGGAGGGTCCCTGGAAGGAATCAGAGGCTGAGTCAGAACATTTCCTACACAAGTGCCCAGCTCTCCAACCCCAACACTCAGATGTCCTTCATCTGTCATCCCAGAAATGCTGTTCTTCATCCCCAACTTCCCAAGGATGGCCTCTTGTCCCCAGTGGAGAATGACACCTGGGAGCCCTGGGGAAAGACTCACCTGCCTGCATAGGTGTCCTCAGGCCCATGCTCAGCCCTGCAAGAGAGTTCCTGTGAGACATTATGCCTAAATCCTGAACAGAATCCTCCTCTTCAGGAGCCTCCCAAGTCCTGGGGACCTGACAGAGCAGGGCTTCCCCTCCCCCCTCACATCTCACCAAGGCAGAACAGGGCTGTAAGGGTGGGGGACATGGTGTCTCCTCTCTGAACCCAGCTGTGCTGAAGGAAGAGACCAAGGAATCCTCAGTGTACACAGATTCATAGGGTGTAGTCATTGGGAAGCTGGCCGTCTCTGCCACGGGTTGTCACGTCAGGAAGTGGGACAGTGTCTTCCCAGAAGTCTGGCTGCCATTTTCTCCATGAGGAAAGTTGTATACCTGGAGCCTCCTGAGGCAGCCCTCACAGGTGAGATGACCCAGGGTAAGACCTCTCAGGTCAGAGCCTCCACTACAAGCTCCATTCTCCCTCTGCCCATTTTTTAGCCCCTCCTTGTGCATCCTCCCCATGGAGAGTGTTCACCCAGGCCCTGGAGATGCTTCAGGAAGACAGGGGTCCCTGTGCCTGCAGAGCTCAGCTCAGTAGAGACATGGTCTCCTCCTCACTGTGCAGTTCAGGCGAGTGTCACTGTGACAATGAGCACAAAGAACAGATATAGGGAAGTTAGGGAAGGACACACACCCCTTCCCCTGGCCCCAGAGTGTGGTTTTCTTTTCTATCCCAGCCACCATCACTAACTTCTCGTTTTTCTTAGCAACAACCTCCACCTCACTTTTGTGGGGACAAGCCTCTGAGTGATGTCTGCCCCCTCAGTGCCCCTTGTTTCCGGGGTAAAGCCTCCTCCTCGGGCTGTGGTCCTGCCTTCAAGCTTCAGGGGGCATTGATTTGGCTTAGAGTCCTGATTTTTACTTATAGCAGATACTTATTTAAATAAGCATCAGCCAGTGCTCAAGTGATCTGTGTACTAATGTCCTATCTCTGAGCCCCATTGGAATCCTGAGTCACATCTGAATCCTGAATCCTGTTGTCACAAACCCCAGTCTCCACAGTGGCTGTGGGTCAGTGGTGCTGATTCATGGGAGGGAGACTTCCATTTCCAGACCAGATGAGGATGAGAGTGGGCTGGGATATGAGAGGATCAATGAGTCCAGGGCCAAGGCAAGACTATTGGACTCGCTCAAGACCATGTCTGCTCTGAATACCAAGCCCAGCTACTCATAATAGCTCTAAAGTATGTAGGCATAGAAAGGTGAAGGAAACAGAAAGGTTCCCAAATGGAGAGGGAACCACAGTGGAGAACAGAGACCAAAACTGAGTGGCCCCCAGTGACCATGACTATCAATGAGTAATAGGGATGAGATCTCCCTAAAGGGACAGAGAGGGACCCCAGGACTTCTCAGGAAGGGGGTCAGAGAGCAGGTGAAGGCTTCAAGTCTGGTCCCTGCCCTGTGTTCCTGTGCAGGCTCTGGGATGTCTCTGCCCACTCTTCCAACTTCATGGTCAGCAATAAGCAGTCTCCCCTGGATTTCCTGAAACAGACTAAGTCCTGAATGTCAGCCATGGGTGTCTGTCCCATGTGTGTGTGTGTGTGTGTGTGTGTGAGGCTCCCATGGACCAGCCCTGGTGGTCAGAAAGCTGAGCAGGTGCTGAGTCTGAGAGAGTGGACAACATGGGGAAGAGGCAGTTGCCACAGGCCCTGCTCAGCCTGACTCCATGGACTGCCCTGGAGAATCTGAGGGAGACCAGGTGTGTGAGGGGAGAGACTCCTACTAGAGTGGACAGTGGAAAAATCCTAATAGTCTCAGACAGTGCTATGGACACCATCTACTGACACTGGGAACTGTCTCATGCAATGAAAGAGACTCAATAGGAAATATGAGAGCAATGGAAGATGATCATGTGTAAATATCTGAAAAATAAAGGCCTGAGCCAATAATATAAATTGTTTTATATATATTAATATAATGAATTAGAAACTTTAGAGATGATTAAACCCAATAGATGGACACATGAAAATAGTTCTTCCCATCAGGTATGAGACACAGGTAAAGGGCCATTTATGACAATGCAGTACAGTACAGAGGAAATTTCCAAAATGCAGAGTAGGGAGACCAGAAGTGGGGACCGAAGGTACTTGGGGACTAGAGTGAGGATGGTGGACGTCATTTCTATGGTGTCAGAAAGAAAGAAGTGAGTCTGACATTTAGTAACAGCTCAAGAGTTAAATGATCAAACATTTTACCAAGATGAAGAAAAACCAATCTAGTGTTAGGGAGCTGGTATATAAAAATGAAATCTGTATCTTGACTTTTTCTGCTTAATAAAGATAATGAAGGTCAAATAAAAACACAAGAACATATCCTACACCCAATTTCACGCATCAAAAATGGTTAATTTTAGGCCCTGGCTGGGAGCTCAGTGAGTTAGAGCAGCATCTCAGTGTTTAAGGTTGTGGGCTTTGTCCCCAGCCAGGGCACACACAACAAGCAACCAATAGATGCATCAGTAAGTGGGTCAACAATCAATGTTTCTCTCTCTCTCTCTCTGCCCCACTTCTCAAATGAATCAATACAAAAATATTTTTAAATGATTACTTTTATTTTAATGTGAATTTCAACTCAAAAAGAAAATTGTGGAAGACTGGCCTGGGGTGTTAAAAAGTCCTAAAATTACTTCCTAGAGGAAGTGCACATCACCATAGTGACAAGCTTGCTGGGACCAGACTTCCTCATAGCAAAGAGGACACCGGAAGACAGTGGGGACACACCTTCCAGGAGAAGATTATTAGTGAAGATTGTGCACTGAGCCCCATTAGATTTAAGAGACAAGGTGAATGTGTCAGCCAGGTCAGTCCCTAAATGGAAACCTGTATCTCCTCCCAACCTCGCCCTGTGAGGCTGTGTCTCCAGGAGAGAGAACAGATTTCCAGGGAGAGAGCCTTTAACCACAGGGGACATTTTTTTTTTCTCTCTCTCTGAGGACTTGAATCACAAACTTCAATTGAAATAGTAAAGTGTTTCCTAGTTACTTGATGAAGCAAGTGAGACTGAAATAAGGCATTTCCAGACCACCAAGTTTTTAAATATTTTCATCTTTTCACACTCAGAGAAAGGATAAAATTCAGTGATATAACTCAGTTAGAAGAACAAAGACACCAAACTGGAGAAAGTGAGATGCAACAGCAAGGGAAAGTGGCAAAAAAACATTAAAAAATGTTATTGTAATGTCTATGTTGTGATCCAGTCACTTATGTAATATTTGATGTCAACTGTATTGAGAAATAAAACTGATTTAGAAAAGAAGGAAATAATGTATGTGCTACATGGATGCATCTGAAGGACAAGTGAAATAAACAATCACAAAAGAGCAAATCAACAACAAAAACAACAACCCACAAACACTTTTTTCAGCCACATTGGAATTATAGCTAAACTATAGGAAAACCACTATCCAGAACTTCCTGCTTTCTAGGTGAACAGAAGTCCCACAACTAAGAGTGTAAAGAAGAAGTCACACTGAGACTCAGAGACATGAAAAGAGCTGGTCTCACATCCACGTGTGACAGACAGAAGTCAGGAGGGACAGTTCTGCTGCAGAGTTCCTGCCTGAGGATCCAAGGGTCCCAGCCCCAAACAGGGCACCCCAGCCCAGGGTTCCAGAGCCAAGGAGAGAAATGCTCATAACTTCTGGCTGTGAAAACCAGTGGGGACTGTGGCTAAGTGAGACCAGGACTTCTGGGGTCCCAGGCAGTTCCTCCCCCACCCAACTTGCAATCTTGCCCAAGCTGTTTCCAGTGCATTTCCCACACAAATGGCCTCTCTTACCTCACACTTGAGACTTTCCTGAAACCTCTCAAATCAATAGCACTCGAACCCTAATCAATATCCTTGTGAATGATGCCCATGTACACATGTTCTCTAAGGCAGGTGCTTAAAGGTAGAGCTGTGTGTCTCTAACTGGGTAAGTGTAATGTATTTGTTCAGTTGGTGACTATGACTGGCACTCCTACAAGTGATGCATTAGAATGCTATCAGCTCATTGTCATCTCCCCCAGGGGATAGTAGGATTTTTCTCTTGGCTTCGAGTCTGGATGCATTGGGACTGTGGCCTTGTACTTCCAAGGAAAATCAGTTACAACACTGAAGTAGAAATAATCGTCCCACATAAAAGGGCAGGCAGAGTAGGTGCACTATGAGGCTGTCAGACTGATGTGACTGGTATCCCACACTGACCTGTACTGTCTGTGAAAGTCAGTTTGTGAGCCACTTCCCAACTCTGCATCAGGACCTCACCAGGGCATCTGGTAGTTGGCCATGAAGGGACCATAGATGCCAAACATGGGAAAACACCAAGAACCAGTGTTTTATTAAGAGGAATTCCTGGGGTGACATTGGCTAATAAAATTAAATATAAGTTTCCATGTACAATTCTCTAATACATCATTTGTATCCTGCACTGTGTTTTGAACAGTGGGTTCTTCCCAGGCAGTGCAACCCAGGCGATCCCTTCAAACAAGTGTGTCTTGATTTCCCCCCAGGCTGGTGTGGCTGTGTTGGTTGGAGTATCATCCCATAACCAAACCTTTGTGGTTACCGTTCCCGGTCAGGGCACATACCTAGATTGCAAGTTCAACTCCCTGTCTAGACATGTATGGGAGGCAATGAATTGATGTTCATTTCTCCCATCTGTGTTTCTCTTTCTCTCTTCTACCTCTCCAAAAAAGCAATGTAAATATCCTCAGGTGTGGGTTTAAATAAGTCTTGATTCTATGCAACCAGGTTCCTGAAGAAAGTCCACAGGTGCCATCTGAGGAAAGGTGAAGGCATGTGGGGTCCAGAGAGGGCACTGGGACATCATTTGAAATTTTTCTCTTGTGGGCTGAATGTTTGTGATGCCAGCTCATGGATTTATTGAAATAGATTGCAGGCTCTGAACTAGTGGATGGGCACTCCATACGAACATTGAGGCAGGTGTAATGAGACATAAAGAAGAATGTGTTTCTGGAAGTGTGGGGAGGTGTGGACATGACCATGCCATGTGGGATAAACGCTAATGTCACTGAAATGGGAAAAGCTGAGATGGGTCACATGACTCAACAATGGTCGCGAGGAGATTGGCAGAATTTAATGGCAGAAAGGTCCAAACCTTGTCCCCCTTCATATGACCAATGAGTCCTCCACCTGCAGTGAGCTGCAGACAGGTCACACAGCATGTCCCAGATTATCTTCCAGAACCTTCTGGGTACATGACCTCATTTCCAAGGCTCTCCCACTCTGAATGGTGCTCCTTTACTTCTGTGTTCAGGTCCTGGTGGCAGCCTGGGCCATTCTCTCACTGTCTCGAGCCTGAGACAGCAGCACCCTGAGGACCACCAGGACCAAGCCAGCCACACCCATGCGGACGAGATTCTCCACTGTGTAGTCTTGGGAGTGGGAGTCTAGGAAATGTGGAGAAAGAGGTCACAGAGGTTGCAGCAGACAAAGTCACCCCTACATCCTGGATGCCAACCCAGCATACCTGTACCCCTGACAGACAGGACCCCCTGCACCCAGCCCCACAACTGAGGATTCTCCTACTCAGCACTCTTGTTATCTGAGCTGTTGTTTGATGGGCTGATGGTGTCAGCTGCTCCTTGAAAACCATAAAGAAGTAAGTGTGTGAGGAGCCATTCAAGCCAATTGTCTTCAAAACTCTCCCATTCCTCATGATGTGACTGCTCCCAGCCGTTTCTCAAACCTTCTCTCTGCTATGAGGGTCCTGTCTGCTGCCATGGGTCCTGCCAGTCTCCCGGGGACTTCTGAGTGCAGACTTTGCTCCTGAGGCCCTTTGGGACATACGTTGTCTATGCCCCGAGAATTCAGGTTTGGTGAGAAATGTGGTCTCTCATTACAGAACAGAGAAGATTCTTGTAATCTCTCTGCTATCTGTGGGAGACTGAGCCATCCAAACTCACTCTTCTGGAGCTGAGAGTGTATATTTGGTCAGCAGCTGAGGACTCAGGGTCCATGGGTGGGTCTATCTATACACACACACATATCCTGGGTACTCGAACAATTCTTGAGCTGTATATATAGAAAATTTTATTCAAAAGAAAACTTCAAAATGTATTTGAAGTCTAAAACAGCCCTTTTAATGCACCTTTATTTTTAAAAAACTTCCTTTTAGTATAATGTTAGTTTTCCCTTAAAAATATTCTATTTATTTATTTATTTATTCGTTTGTTTGTTTGTTTATTTATTAGATGGAAAGAGAGGAAGAGAAACATCAATGTGTGGTTTCCTTTTGAGCGCCCTCTATTAGAGACCTGACCCACAACTTAGAAATGTGCCTTGGCAGGAAATTGAACCAGCAACTATTTGATTTGCAGTCTGGCACTCAATCTACTGACCCACAGCAGCCAGGTCAAAAGGTTACTTTTCATAATAAAGGGATGAATTTAACATAATCACAGTGAAAATAGGAGTACATTTACCTTTTTAAAGTCAGAAATGTTCATAACTTAAATGTATATGTGAAAGCATTGCTTTACATTTCTCAGAAAACATGCCATAATAGAGAGGTGTGGGCAGACATGTAGAGAGCAGACATGAATTTCACAGTGTATCTGGGCAGGAACCCCCAGTTCCTCATGAGCCATCCATGGCCCCCCACACCCAACCTGAGTCTCAGGTAAGCACTGAGTGCTAGAGGCATCCAGGGTCCTGCAAAATGATGCCCACGGGTGGGGGCACTTCTCTCCATAGGAGAGTGTCCAGAGGGGACTCCACCATCCCCCACAGTGGCCCTACCATGGCCCGAGCCACCTCCTGCCCTGCTCTGAGAGGGTTCAGGGACCCCCATACAGCTTGGCCAGTTCCACTAAAAATCTGGAAATGAGGTGCCAAGGGAGAGTCTACCTGTCCTATTTACAGCCCTCCTGACCTCCCCTTCTCCATAGTCCAGCTGTCTTCCCTGTATTACAAGCCGGACCTGGACACCAAATTCTGAAAACTGGCACCAAGCAAACTATGCAGGGGCCTAGGCTTTTGGTGGAAAATCCCACAGATTCTGTGTGGAAGTGGGAACAGTTGGCACCCTCAATGGGAATTTCCAAATCCTCGCAGTCTCCTTGATATGGAGGCCTCTGCTTGCTAAGCTGAGCCCCAAAGCTGGATGGACCTGCTCCCCCAAACCCCTGTCTCCCTGAGCTATTTCATCTCTACAACGTCCCAGTTACTGGGACAAGCAGGACAGGCCCAGAGAGGGTGGGACCAGGAGCAGTTGCCACTTTTTCAGGTGCCCAGAAAGTCAGAAATGGACATGACCCTGCGGGTCCTGAGGAGGCAGCTCCCCCTTACTCAGGTGGGGAAAGATCCTCAGAGCTCACCTCCCTGGGCAGCTGAGTCCACACACACTCTGCCCTCTATCCTGTGAGTCCTGCCTGTGGGGTGTGTGTCTGGGGAGCAGAGCTTCTCTGGTTCTGAGATGGAGACACCTGAAGGCAGTGGGCTGGGACTCCATCCTGTAATTCCAGTCCACTCTCACTCTCCTCTTGGTGTCACAGTCCAGCAAGGCAGTCTCCCTCCCTTGCTCAGCCCTGTCTGAGAATGTAGTGTCAGGAGGTCCCAGGGGTGGGAGATGCCCACCTGCTTCCACCTCTCACAGGATGACCCTTCTCTGAGGAGCCTACTTGAGTTCCCATCATTTCCATCATGCCTTAGATTTTCCTGGGGACAGGACCCATAGGTGACTTTGGAGCTCAGAGAGGACCGGGGCAGGGTTGGCTTATCTGAGACCAGGAGCTCTGGGGCCAGAAAATGGAGGACATCTTGACCCCAGGGGGCACTGGGAGCCTCTGCCTTTGCATCCCACCCATAGGCCATAACCCTGGGTTGGATAGTAGAGGGAGGGTGCTGCCTTCTGCAGAAGCACCTTCTACATGAGCCAGGCTGCTCCTCTGTTCAGCTGGGCCCCCAACATCTCTCTCCACCATGATCACCTCACCTGCCACCTGCCGCCCTTACCCATGGACGGTCCTCACTGGGCTGGGGTGAAGGGCAAACCATCAGAGACCCTGAAGCCCCATGGTTCTCCTGAAATCTCTCCCTGCTGATACCCAGAGCCCCAAGACACTAGCCTGACCTTGAATATCTGAAGGGCATTAGATCCTCAGAGAGACTCAAAACCTCCCTGGACTGGTCTGTGTGTCTGGCCCAGGAATCCCTGTGCTCCCTTTACCCAACCTCTCACATGGGGCTTCCCTCCCAACAAAGACCCCAATCACCTGTCGGTTGCCTCCAATCATGTATGGGATAATAATGGGATGTACCTGAGACCAGGAGCTCCAGGGAATCACTGGGGTGTGACCACACCTGGGGAGTGCTCCTGTAACAGCCATAGCATCTGAATGTCCACCTGTCACTGGAGGTCACAGGTCCCACAGTGAACTGGGCCTGGACTTGCCCACTGGGGTGAGGCTGTGAGTCCAGGGTCCAGGAGAACCTGTCTTCTCCTTCCTTAGTCAGAATGAACCTGTTGAATTTCTGCCATGATCCACACTGGAGGGTCACATTCCCTCCTGAGGTCAGGACAGAGCTGGGCAGGGCTGAGATGTTGGGTGTGCTGTAGAATCCTAGGGGAGAAGGAGGCAGCATGTTAAATGGGGCTCACTCCTCCCTCACTTCCCCCAGGGCTGGGCTGTGGGGGGAGACCCCCTGAAAGCATCCCTCTTCCTGAGGGCAGAGCCTGAGGCTGGTACCCCTGGTGTGTCCTCACCTGTCACCACCAGCTCCAGGGGGTCGCTGACCTCTGACCAGCCACTGGGGCTGAGATAGGAGCATTGATATCTCCCTGCATCATACTCTGTAGTGTGTGTGAAGGAGAAATTGGCCATGTCACTGGGTTCCAGTGGCTTCTCTCTTTCCAAAGATATTCCGCTTCCTTCTTTATGCAGACGGAACCTCTGGGCCTGCAGGGGCCCCTGACACCAGATGGTCACAGAGCTCTGCAACAGGGTCACAGAGCTTGGCTCAGCCCAGAGGGTGGGTTTGGGGAGGGTCCCTGGAAGGAATCAGAGGCTGGGTAACAAGACATTTCCACTCCCAGGCCCCAGATCTCA